AAAACACCATTTTTTATTATTAATTACTTGTTCTTTAAGTTTCTAATTCTGTTCCTGTATAAAACACCATTTTTTATTATTAATTACTTGTTCCTTAAGTTTCTAATTCTGTTCCAGTATAAAACACCATTTTTTATTATTAATTACTTGTTCCTTAAGTTTCTAATTCTGTTCCTGTATAAAATACCGTTTTTTATTATTAATTACTTGTTCCTTAAGTTTCTAATTCTGTTCCTGTATAAAATACCGTTTATATTATTAATTACTTGCTCTTTAAGTTTCTAATTCTGTTCCTGTATAAAACATCGTTTATATTATTAATTACTTGTTCCTTAAGTTTCTAATTCTGTTCCTGTACAAAACATCGTTTATATTATTAATTACTTGCTCCTTAAGTTTCTAATTCTGTGTCTGCATAAAACACCGTTTATATTACTAATTATTTGTTCCTTAAGTTTCTTATTCTGTTCCTGTATAAAACACCATTAATAGTATTACTTACCTGTTATTTAATTAATGTAATACTGTTATGGCACTAAACTGTACTTGTTAACAAGAGTGTTGTTGTTTTCCAGGTCCAACTTTACCAAAATTGTATGGATCTTCGCATCTCTATGGTATGTAAGAAAAGTTTAGATAAATGATTTTGATTGTTTCAAATCGCATGCGAAATCTTTTGTAAAATCTCCTTCTGAGTTGTTAATAAACAAATATTTATTTCTAGATATTTATTTAATCCAAGTTTAATTACCTTATAGGCCTGTGGCATCAAAATTGAACCTCCTCCTAAAGCATAAGGTAAGTAATATTTTACACAAATATATATTTAACTTTAAAGTATATAGAAGCCTTTAGTAAAACTCTTTCTTTTATAAGCTTTTACTAACATAATCTGAATAAAAAGACGTTTTAGTTACCCGAGAGAAGCTAACGTTTCTTCATAATTTATTTTGATAATTGTTTCAACTATAAAATTTTATTAATATATATTATTAGTATAATCATAATTACACATTACCTTTAGCTAATGTATCATTACAGATATACTTACAGGTAAATATTTTACAAGAGGAGCATTTTTCATTGAGCTATAGTCAAACTAACCACAGTTTTCAAGCTCTTTAGTTATTGGAAAGATCTCTGCACTACTTTTTACTTCGTATTAACATTTTATTACAAATTCAGAAGACGCTTCGATGTCACTAATAAAGAAGTTAGTAAGTTCATAGATGTCTTCTATGATACGACAGTTTAAACAATCTCACTCGTTTGTTTTCCAATACACCTAAAAAAAATGCAATTTGTTGCTCAGAGATTAAATCATTTAATCTATGATCTATACATTATAAAAAAAGTAATAATTTCTTTTTGATATATCACATTTTCAATACGATGTAGGTAAAAACCTTTAGACTTCTGAACACAAATTACGATGCTCTAATCAGATGGTGCATTTTTAAACTGTTTAAAGTTACAAAGGAAAACATACCTAGCTTTATAGGGTCTGACACCAAAAACTAAAGGTAGGTTAACTTTGTTTTTTTACAGCTTTCTTTACTTGTGTATTTATAGGGGTGGGAAACTATGGAATAACGACCTTGTCCAGCTTACGAAGCTCCTGAATGATGGAAAGAAATCAGGAGACAACCATGCATCGTTTGTAGTTTTAGTAGTTCTCAGTTTCTGTTCTTCCTTTTGTCTAATAAAGTTGTTCCATTATGGTATTTATACGTTGTCATTTTCTGTTGTTTCACGCGAAAAAGCAGTGATTTATATTAAGATGAATTATTAGTTGAAATAAATGGGATTTATTGACAGCATGGCTCAAATCTGATATCAAAAACGTGTATATAGGTTTAACCAGTTCATCAACATCACACCCAACCAATTTCCTTGAAGCTGTAGATCATCATTATTCGATACAAAATGCTTAATACATCAAGTTCATGCCTGTCGTTCATATATATATAATGAACAATCACGGTGCCATTTGATACGTTAAATATGAAATATCACTTACTTTAGCCAGAAATAACAAAAGCTATATTTAAAGATTAAAATATATTTAAAATTTCGCGGAACGGACCTTTCAGGTCTGGCATCGAAGAATCCAACGTTCAAAGAAAATTTTGCTGGTGGGGGAGGAGGGTGGGAACGAGAATACCTAGAGAAACCTTACTTTCACGGCCAAGGCACCGAAAAAGATTGGACGGACTGTATCCGGAAGAATCTGGAAGAAGAAAACACGAGTATTAGTAAAATGGGTACAATAAAACATTTTAAAATAGGCCAGAATGATGGAAGGTCGATGAAAGTCTTGTTCACAAAATACATCGGAACTTGAGACTTCACCGGCGGTGGAAGAAGTGGAACCAATCAAAGTCTTGGCGGACGAGAGGCGACTAGGACTGCTTGGATGCCCGAAGAAATCCGCGGAAGTCATCGGTGGATTGCTCTTCTGTCTGAATACTTCTGTCATTCTTGGTAATTCGAGTTTAGGACTCTTGGCTGGATGTTTGACAGCTACCACTGGATGTTGAGGGGTTGGATTTGGTGGACATTGATACTGGAGTCTGTGTTGATTGAGTCTTCAGCGAATTCTTCTTGGCTAAGCAAAACACAATCTTTCTAAAATGTTATATGTAGCACCTTAAACACAATCTTCTTAAGGTGCTATATATATCACCTTAAACACAATGTTCTTAAGGTGCTATATATGTCACCTTAAAGACAATCTTACTAAGATGTTATATATGTCACCTTAAACACAATCTTACTAAGATGTTATATATAGCACCTTAAACACAATCTTACTAAGATGTTATATATGTCACCTTAAACACAATCTTACTAAGATGTTATATATAGCACCTTAAAGACAATCTTTCTAAGATCTTATATATAGCACCTTAAAGACAATTTTCTTAAATTGTTATATATACCACCTTAAAGACAATCTTACTAAGATGTTATATATAAAGCCTTAAAGACAATCTTCCTACAATGTTATATATAGAACCTTAAAGACAATCTTCCTAAGATGTTATATATATATAGCACCTTAAAGACAATCTTTCTAAGATGTTATATATAGCACCTTTCCTGACCTCATCGACATGCATGAAATTTAACCATCTTACATTAGTGTGTGTGTACTACAAACTTCAATTACATCATATCATCAGACTCTAAATGAATCATTTCTCACAACTTCAAAAGGATGCTGATTTTCCAGCACATCATCTTTGAATGGTTTCAAATGTGCATTCTTCTATAATATTTCCTTTCTCTTTCGTCCAGCAGAAGATTGGATCTTTCAGTGAAAATTTTCTCTTTGGAAAATACTTTGTAGATTTGAATTATGTGGCACTGAGCTAACACTAATCAAACGTCTGTCTATCCTTTCTAGAATATTGGACTAGTAGGGCAGTGGAACATCTATATAAACATCAATACGTTGTTTAGTTGGAAGAATGTTTTTAACAAGCTAGTCCCAGGTGTAACGTGTTTCAGAATTGAAAACAGAGTAATAATTCTTAAAAAATAACTCATCTTTCATCATTCAAAATCCTGTTAAATTAGGTATACAGAGTAATAAAATAAATATTCTTTACGTCATGTTACTCGAATATTCAGTATTTTTCTCATTATGTAAAGTGAATATTGTTACCTTACAGCACCGCTCGCGTAGTTTATCGAAAATTAGAGACCTCAGTGAATAATGTATAAATATAGGTGATTAGCAAGCGCAAGTTAAGTAGAAAGTAATGTGAAATAAAATAAAGCAAGTCAAGTGCAGTTCAGTCAGAAAATTAGTTAGCCACCGTGTGAGTGATTAGCTATAATGATAAATATTTTAAAGTGAGTTTCACAGTTTAATAGAAATAAGGAGATTAATTTGTCTTGTCAAAGGATATTCTATAGTAATTCTGACCTGTCTGTGTGGACTTTGACGAAAAGGGGACAATTATTTGATGTTCAGGATACAACTGTGGTAACTCACAGCGAAGAGTAAGCGAATTATTTACTGAATCTATTGTGATAAGAGTCGAGAAAATTAATACGTCTTGTCAATTGGATTCTAAAGTAATTGAATCAGCCTAAGTGGACTTTTGACAAGAAAAGAGAATGTTTATTTCTAAAAGTATAAGAATTTAAAATTGATAAGCTAATGCTACTGATATGAGATATAACAAGAATGGAGTCATGTAATTTTGAAATTTACTCTTTTCCGGTACTAAGTCAAACATCATTTCCTTAAATATAACTGGTTATATCTGGTACATCTAAAAACATTGTCCGTTATTTGTTAACCTTTGTTCTTTACTAATATTGTTTAGTCTACCTTTCTTTAGTTCACTGTCATGTATAATATTAGGGTTAACGATAATGTTTTTATAGTGAGGTTGAATATTGGAGTTCTTTTAATAAACATTCCACTAAACGAGACTTTTGATTTAGGTAGTGATTTAGTGCGAAGTAAAATTTATATAATAAGATATTTATATAAACAAACGTATAAAAGATGATTCAGTTTGTTACTAAACAAATATTCCTTCTGTTTAATCGCGATTTTCATGATGAAACAGGCGGCGTTTGTATGGATTCGAGTCTAGATCCGATAATAACTAATGTATTTGTGTGTTTTCTCGAACAAAGTAGGTTAAATAATTGTACCCAACTATTTAAACCACTTTTTATGTAAACGTTATGTTATTTAAGCCACTTTTTATGTAAACGTTATGTTATTTAAGCCACTTTTTATGTAAACGTTATGTTATTTAAGCCACTTTTTATGTAAACATTATGTTATTTAAGCCACTTTTTATGTAAACATTATGTTATTTAAGCCACTTTTTATGTAAACGTTATGTTATTTAAGCCACTTTTGTGGTAGAAAGTTTTGAAAATACGAAGGTTAAGCATGAGAACATACACTTTACTTACCAGTGAGCACTAACAAAAATCTATGTTATCTTTACTGGATGACTTTGGTGTACAAGCAAATACATCGGTGTTTATCACAAACATATCAACATCAGGATATATATACTGTATATATATATATATATATATATATATATATAAACATGGTACAACAATAACTGTAAAGTTACAACACAAGAAAACAGGTTTCGATTATAGTGGTGGGCAAAGCACTGATACTCAGTTGTGTAGCACTTTACTTAACTACAAACAAACAAAACTGGGTATACACACGCTTTGTACCTCATAATTTCAAACAAAATGTATCGTGGTTCGTGCTCACGTGATTATCGATACTGAGATCAGTGTTGAGAAATACTTATTTTACAACACTGTTTGTTAAGCTTTCTAGAGTGATAATGTTGAAACGCCTTTCTAGTCCTACAGTTACGAATTTCAACGTTCTAAAATTAAATGTTTATAGCTCTAACATATATATTGGTTATTCCCTGTATTCACACCAAGAATAAACAGAATACAATGAGATGATTGGCTGATTTTGACTGGATCGGAAATTATAGGCACGTGACACATAGTGTGGTCACGTGACCTCTTTCCTTCCCAGGTTGCTTCTTCTCGCTGATTTTTTTGTAATATAAACTTTTTTTT